ATTATTTGTGAAAGCAACCCTCCTTTTCCTATTTGTTTAATCATTCCAATACCCTTTATGATACAGCACAGTGCCACCTAGAGGTTTTGCTATAGAAAAGTAGTGCTTGACTCTCAATTCTGTGATGAAACTAAAAGCAGATAGAGTGTACTACTGGCACCCTATTTAGCCATCCTTACAAAAGCATGTAGCAACATGCAAAATGCATTTAAAGCCATTTTAAATGCAGGCTACAATACAATACAAAAATGTGGAAAAGTAAAAGGAGGGTGAGTGTTTCTGCAAAGCACTCTACATATATGAATGTACAAGTGCGTGCATGCACACGCACAAACAATTTATGTTGACTGGATCATGCTGGGAGTTCTGGAACTTTTCCTGTCTAAACATACATAGGTTTGCCTCATAAGTATCAAAATGTATATGATAAACAGTTACACAAGCTCCAGGGGTTTATGGTATGTGCACGTGAGAGAGAGAGAGAGAGAGAGAGAGAGAGAGAGAGAGAGAGAGAGAGAGCGAGTGCACAAGATTTCTCTCTTTTCTTCAGAGCAAGATGTTTCCTGGTAGTCTGGTGCTGGCAGTTGGGAGAAGTCTCAAGTGGAACACTAAGTACATGAGGGTTCTCATTCCCTGGGGTTCTACTGTCCTCTTCTCTGAGTTCCTCACAGTGCAAGATAATTCTTGAACAGCCCTGTGGTGGCAAGTGGGATAGTGAAAACAACCTCATTTGGAATCATGGAAACTAAGGACAGGTTGCTCACAAGGCTGCTGAGCTCGCACTTTCTCTGGATGAGACAGTTCTTGAGTGTTCTCATGCTGGGAACATGAGTTTTGCAGCTGTGTGGATGGAATACTCCTTGAGAAAAATAATACAAGTATGTTTAGGAAATAATTCAAAGTTTCATCATTAACTCAAGCACCATTTAACTTTATCTAATTACTGTGCATAGTGTATTTGTGCATGCTTGAGTGTATTCATGTATAAGATTTAGTACATCCTGTCTGTAGTATTCATATACAACAATGATCTGTATAACTCTATAAATGTAATGAACTATAGTGCATAATGAACATATTAGCATTTTTAAATTTCATTTGTAAATGGGAATGCCTGTAACATTTCAGACAATGCACTCTGGGAAACTCCTATTGCTTGTGCCAGTTACTCCTCTGTTCTTTACTTAAATCTTCAAGGCCAAGGGTGTGAATCATTGCACAGATGAATAATGATTACTTATCACAACCATTTCCTCTTAAAAAGGTGTCTTCTGTGGACAAGCCATAAATATTAATAAAAAGCTCTGTTGCAGGAACTAGCAGCAAGATCAGAAGAGTATGAAGTGCCCAGAACTTCTACAGCAGGACTTGCCTAAGGGAACAAGATAGTTGCTAGTGCAAGATGAATTACTAAGGAAGGGATGATGCCTCTTGGAGAAACGAAGACATTGTTTACAAAGAAAAGTGGCATTCTTAGTTCTTTCAGGAAAATTCTGGCATCTAACTATACTCCAAAATCATAAAATAGAGTTTTAAATAAGATCATCATTAAAACAGCATACATGTTGACCTCAAAAGATAGGTTGAAATAATATTCTGTTTATTTAAAAACATTGGCCTTAATTCTAAAAAGAAGCTCACATTGAATTGTCATCTTTAAAAGTAACGCAACATTTACCACTTCCACCCTTCTAAACACAACCATCAGTAATGTACATAGTGCACTAGTATTTTTATACCACTCACCATCACTTCTGCTTTGAATCACTTCCAGATACCACACTGCAATGATAGTTCAGAATGCTTGTCTATCTGAAGCTGTAACAGAAATATAGTTTTGTTTGTATTCTTTATGAGAAACACTTTATAATGCTTTTGTATTTGTAGCTTAAGACTAATATTTATAGTGTTCTGATTTCTGTTTTATAGGAATAGGTCTGAGAGCAAACCAGGCTTATGCATTTTATATGTTTTGTTTGTTATCTTCCATAGTGCCTCTAGAGTTTTAGGTGAACTTGCACAGGAAAAAGAGGATATGGCTATAGCCTGATAGTGTAATAGGAAAATCAGGGTATTGTATTCCCCATATCTTCTTCAAAGTAGACATATCAAATGTCAAGAAAATACTTTACCCCCACTTTCTACCCTTTCAGTGTACATGGTGGAGGAACCTCTAGAAAACCTGTTGCAGGGGTAGAAGCTATTGACTATGCATAAGGGTTTCTCCTGGCACAATTTCAGTGACTCCAGCACACCATTAAAGCAACAAAAACCTTCAACCCTTTGAGAATATAGTTGCCCTGATTCTGTATTGGACTGCAAGTCTTACCATTCCTAGCTATCATGATAAAAATTATGAGAGTTGTAATCCAAAATACCTGAATGGAAACTGATTGATCCAACATTTTGTTTTTAGCATGGCTGTGAAGGAGCAGAACTGTCCTCCATTATTGTGTTTTGTTTGGCTTTAGGATATTGCAGGGTTAAATCTCACCCTTTTACTTTCTCTGTGTGTGCATGTTCGTGTGTGTGCACTTGTCAGTTTTAATTAGAAATAGTTTCACCGGAATGTAGAGGTTGAGAAGATTGGTCTAGAAGCATGGATATGATGCTGTTCAACAGAAGGTCAGATGAACTGAGAGAGAAAAAAATCAGAAAATAAAAGTTAGTTTTAAATAACGGCTTATCTGCATAAGACTTCTAACCTGCTACTTTACCGATACCTTCTGCTTCCTATTTCTTTATGAGATTAAGACTGACCCCGTCACATGTGTTTTTCTTCCAAGACTGTCTCGTGCTACCTTTTGATACTTTTCATTTCACAACCACAAAGTTTTGCTGAGAGCCGAAATACATGAGTTTTTCATGGTGTAGGAAGAAAGTGCAAACATAGGACTGCAGTTGAATAATAAGAAAACAATGCTTATGGCTACCGAAAACTTACAAAACTGTTAACAATGATGACATTGAAATTGTGAAAGATTTTACATACTTCAGCACAATCATCAATTCAAATGGAGATTGCAGCCAAGAATTCAAAGGATACCAAGATCTGGAAGAACAGCAGTGAAGAAACTAGAAAACATCAAGTATAAAGTTGTTTTACTGGAGACCAAGACCAAGATCATCCACACTGTTGCATTCCAGATCACAATGTATGGAGGCGAAAGTGGACAGCAAAGAAAGTTGACAGGAAGAAAATTGATGCCTTCAAAATATAGTGGTGGAGGAGAGCTGTGTGAATACCCTGTGCTGACAGAAAGACAACAAATGGGTCCTAGATCAAATCAAGTCAGGGCTTTTGCTACAAGAAAAATGACAAAGCTGAGACTGTCATAATTTGGGGATATCATAAGAAGGCAGATCTCCCCGGAGAAGACAATAATGCTAGGGGAAAAAAAGAGGAAGGCAAAAGAAGAAGAGAAAGACCAAATATGAGATAGATTGACTCAATAATTTTACAAGAACTGAACAGAGAGTCATAGGGCATTTTGGAGGGCTTTCATTGTTAGGGTTGCCATAAATCAGAGATGGCTTGATGGCACCTAACAACAACAACAACAACAACAACAACTTACTATATTTAATATTACAAATGAATCTGAATCTAGAAGAATACAAGAAAGGCTGAACCTTGATTTGCAAGCATTAAGGGCAATGGTCCACTGGCAACCAGAAAATGTTTTCAGGCAAGCTTTTGACTTTTAAGATAATTTGTTTTCAAAGTTGGTTCTAAGTGGTGGGGGTGTTTATTTCTTAATTTATCAATATGTTTATTTACCATTATTTTAATTAGATAATTCATAACCAGATAGATTTAATAAATAAATATATTTAGTGTTGGGCTGATGTTTTCTGCCAAACAGTGACTATTTGCACTAGAATTAAGATGGACTAAGAAAAAAGTTCTGAGTATTTAGAACTGAAGCTTGCCTGAACTAACTTTATAGATAAGATAGCTGAGGATGGGGATTTATATATTTATACTTTTAAAAAAGTGTGAAAGTATCACGGGCCACAGTGAGCAGTCAATGATCCTCTCTGTTTCTGCAGTCTCCAGTGCTCTTTCTGGTTATGTCTCCCTTTTTGGACCAGATCACCACAGAAATGTTACTATCACTTCTTCTAACTTTCCTCATCCTGTCTCTTGCCCTGTGGCATACAGTGTGCTCAAAATCATTTCCAGCCCCATCTCTCATTAGAAATATGCATGTGCAAAACAAATGATCAAACAAATGCAGAAATGCTGGGAGAGAAGTGGGAAGTTCTTCACTTGAATATGAAAAACATGCATCTCTGTCAAGCAGATATAAAACACACATCTGTGCACTCGCAGGCATGTGCACACACAAAACAAACAAAAATAGGGCGTTTGTGATAATAACTGCAAGCGACATGCTTACACATCCAGCTACAGAAAAGAAAGCACCTATTTACTCAGGAGAAATTTGTTTCAGCTCATTTTTTTAAATCGACAGCCTACCAGTTTTCTTATCCTGGACTGAACACAGACTTTAACACAATCTGCAGTCTCTGCATTTCCAAGAATGTACTATAATTTGCAAACCAAAAATTATGCACTCTGTAGTATACATCCTTTTGAAAACATGCACAAATATGTTTTAATCAATGGGAGAAACTGCATAGAATTCTAAGATGCACACAATTGATAGGTTCAGTTGGAAAAATACACACAATGTACGCATGAATTTTCATGTGGAGAAAAAGAAAAAGCTTACAATTTGATATGAACACAAGTTAAAACATGTTTTGAGATAGAATTTGGTGAACTTTGGAGGGTCTGAGTTTTGTAGATTGACACATATCTTATTTGCTGGTGTGGCTATGCATATGGATTGGGTTACTAACCTGGAGTTTATATATAACACCTTTTCAATTAAAAAAAAAAAAATTGGCAGGCTTTGCCATGTGAAAACAATTTGCTGTTTCTACTGAGGCACCTTTGAGGTTCTGAAGTATGGCATTTATGAAAGCCTATTTGAAACAGTCCTCATAAAACAGATCATTTGAATATGAATTGATGGATATTTCAAAAGCTTTCAATCTCACCTTGTTTCTGATCTGTGCCTTTCTTCTCCCCAAGTTTCCATTTATTTCATGTCTATTATTAAACTGGTCTTTGGCTTCAGAATGCTGTGCATTCAGCTGTATAATTGCAAGGAACATCTGGTATCAATCAGAGCTCTTCAGTGTTAAATTCCAATAATGACAATGTCAGCAGTATGAACTTATTAGAAAATGTATGACACCTGCAGTTTTGTTGATGAGCAACCCTCTCTGCAGGGTAATCCCCTCATCCCAAATTCTGTTCTGAAAACCCTATAAATTATTTCAGGCAGTTGCCATTTATTTTATTTTTGATTAATTGGCAATTATTGTTTTATTAGGACTGCAGTGATGCCTTATGATATATATATATATATATATATAGAGAGAGAGAGAGAGAGAGAGAGAGAGAGAGAGAGAGGACCATAAATTATGGGCCCTTTAGAGGGTGAAATACAGAAAGCACTATAATTTTCAACATAGAAAATAAATAAACAAATCTTTTTCATAAGAAAACTGCACTGACTTGAGATATCGAAGAGGTAATGGGATTCAGCAGCTTGATGGTACTTAAAGGGAACTTCTAAGATGTGAAGAGACATGTGCCCTATAATAACAGATGTCTATAATGGATCTGGCAATATAAAATTACATGTTTAGAAAGAACACAATAAAATATTATTATGGTCATGATTTATTCATATCTGCTTTCCAAATGGACAAAATGTTTTAATTTTCATTTTATAGCCACCAGAGTCCACTTTTCTTCAGAAATGTGATACCATGAAAACCTCTCACATAAGCAAAGATCCAGTAAGGGCTCCCCTGTGATTAAAGTGTTATTTCTTCACAGTACAACAAATACAGTGGTAATAATAATAGTAATAGTCAAGATGCTCACAGAAGATGGGAAGAGAATACACAGAAAGGCTATTATAGCAGTTTTGGTTCAGGAGGTAAGAAAATGAGGTTCTTTTGACTTTCTCAAGGTGTCTTGAGTAGCGGAGCACTTAAGTCTCTGCTTAACTTTATTGCATAGTTTCAAAGCTTTGCCTCTTCCTTTATTTACAGGAAGTTATATGTTCCATCCAAATACTGAAAAACTGCCTATTTATACTCAATTTTGCAGTCGCAAAATCTGCACCAGAAGGCAGAGCAAGTGTTTGAAACATAAAAATTTTCTTCTATACAGCAACTTGTTGCCTAAGAAGACAAGGAAATGTTTCCCATTTTTCACTGGATAAACTAGGCCATCCGCTACCACTCAGCCTAACCTACCTCACGGCATTGTTTTGAGTACAGAAATGGGGAAATATTGGGTTCCTGAAGTAAAGATAAAACATTAATGGAATAAAGTACATGAGAAAAACTAATTTCCTTGTACTGTCCCCCTAGCATGCACAATGGTCATCTGTGCTCTGTATTGTGCACACTCACTTATATGCATCCAGTACCCCATTTGGAAATGCATCTTGGAGTCTAAAGCCAAACTCCAACTCATAATATTCAAATTTTGCAAAAATTGTATCAATTTTCATACTTTTGGGCTTTCACGGGAGGTGGTTGAGGCCCCATCAGTGAGAGTGTTCAAAGATAGGCTAGACATGCACATGGTGGGCAAGTCGTGAGCGGAGCTGGCTGGAGCTGGGGGTCAGACTAGATGGGCCAGGAGGGCCCTTATGACTTGCTCTGTTTCTACGTTTCTATATATCCCACTCATAGGACCATAACTGTCTGCCCAAATGGAGTGAGGCCACTCACCTTCGTCTCTGTTGGAATGGTTCTCCAGGGCTTCAGATCCCGTGTCCTGTTCTACCTAGAGATGCCATAGATTGAATAGTAGGACAGTCTTCATTCAACACATGTGCTATTCCACTGAGCCAATGTGCCTCCCATTCTACCTCTCATCTTCTAGATGAAAACATTATTTGGTTTGTAATTGCAATCTAGGATTGCAAAAGGTGAGGATAGAAGGAAATTAAATACAGAAACTATTTCACAATGGAAATGAAGGAAAGTATCCTCCTGACCTCACTGTTTACAATCCTGCAACTTGTGGTATATACTGTATATAGATTTAAAAGTCCTTTAATACTCCATGTATCTGATGTAGTGGACCGTGTAACTGGTAAAGTCTTATGCCAGAACAAATGTGTAACACTTAAATTTCCACAAGACTGTTAGATTTTGGTGCAACTGATTAGCATGGCTACCTCTGGAGTTTATTAACAGAGCATGCACACACACATGCTCAGAAGCAAGTTCCACTGTGTTTGTTCCTAGGTAAAGACATATAGAATTTCTGGATAAAGATGCAATTCTATGCATGTTTACTCAGGATAATGACTCAAGCATTTTTTAAAAGACAGAGTATAAATATAACAAGAACAAACATGCATTTCTGAAAAATCTTACTATCAAAGTTCTTTAACATTTTTCCTTAACATTAGAACAGTCCTGTGAGACACAATCATTCCTTTTATATATATTAGGAAAACAGGGTTTAAGTGATGCTTAGTAGATCTACCACTAACTTACAACTGGAACTGTTGAATTAATAATACCAGTATCCTCATCCTGTGCTCTCAATGCATGGAGTTATTTCATGGTAGAGTACATGATGCAGAGAATACAAGATGGGTGGGAACATTGAAAGTACACACTTGGGAAGTGCCATAATGCCCTGGTATACTGCCTGTATTTTGCTTTCATATATACTGGTTCCTAAGTGAATAACGCATGTGAGTTACATGAATTCTGTACATATAGGGATTGCACCTCCACTGGTGCTGGATCAAGCCTTAGGTTTTTACCTTATGTTTTTAGGAATCCAGGCAACTACTATCTATGATTTCCCACATCTTAATCATGCACATTGAGACCAGATGAAAACATCAAGCCATTAGGTAGCACTGTGACCATGTGTAGATGAAGTCTGGCAGTTTCAGTGTCAACCTATGAGAGAACAGAAATCCATTCATCACAAAGGAATTGAACATATGTAGGCAAAGTGCTTCAACTATCTGTGTGACATTTTCCAGGAAGAGGGTGGCCACTGTGGATTAGAAATAAATACGCAATGGTCTCCAAATGGTAGCCTTTGGAGGAAGGTGCTTACACTCCCCGTGGCTTCATTATATTAGCTTCTACATATAGCCCGGAAGCTGCCATGTTATTTATTTGGAAGGCCAACCAGTTCACTCAAATGCTTATATAAATGGGTTATGTTTGATTGTTAGAACTTGTACTTACTGCTCTCATCAGCATTCTGTACCTTATACTGGAAGGAAATGAGAAGAGAACTCGGGGTGACAGGGGGAGATGAAGAATGAAAGCAAATGCTGAGCAGAGCAGAAATGCATTGCTTCCTCCATCAGTGCCCTCAAAGGACTCTCATCTCACCTTTAGCGAAGCATCTTTCAAGCTAATTAAAAAACAGAGTTATATTGGCTGGCCTCAAAGTACCTGATGAGTTGTGATATGCACTAGTTTGCAGGCAGTTGAATCATTTCACTATGTTACTTTCTGAACTCTGACCTCTAAAATTGATTTGGGAAAGATAGCTTTCCAATTTTTTCTAATATCTCTGTGTTCCACAGTAATACTGAAGACCAAAAGTCAAGATATGGAATTCTCTACCTCAGAACAAATGATTTCTGGGTTTCACATCTTTGGTACTCCTATCATATCCTTTGATTCTTCCTTAAAAAGAAACCTTATATTGGTGGAATAAAATTAAAGGATATGGCCTTTCCATAAAGGAGGCATAAATGGGTTTTCTTAAATATAATTTAGGTGCAGCAACAATGTTCTGCTCTCATTTTTCTTGGTACTTCAGTCCTGTATATATTCCATCTTGAACTGAATAATTTTTCAGCACCATGACATTTCAGTTCATGCCAGAAATGATGGGACAGAATGAATTTAAATATGCTTCAATTCAGATGATTTATTGTCACCATATATACACAACAAAAGATGTGTATATAAATTGTCACTCGCAAATGTGCTGCCTGGACTGTGTCCCTGCACTTGTCAAGGGTGTGTGCATCGCAGGTCCTGCTTTGTAGTTTAGGTTTATTTTATCTGTTTTGATGTACTGATGGGCATATAGATGAATCATCTTGATGGCTTATTATAAATAGTGATGGAGTTACAGTGGAAGCTGAATTGGCCTATTTGTCCATTTCAGAGTAGAATCTGGTATAGTATGGTCACACTACTTAATCTATGCAGTGGAATAAAAAGTGAGACTAAACCTAGTGTAACCAGCCGGCAATCTCTGGACTAAATCCACCTTCTATGCACTGAAGGTCAGTTGACATCACAGTTAGCATGCTAGATTAGTAGTGAGCAGACTCACTTTCAAATCCCCACTCAGGCATGCATCAGATACTCTCTAGGCTTTTTTAAAGAGTAGAATAGAAAAGGCAAAAGCACTGCATACTGTTCCTTGGGGTAGGTGAGATATTAATGCAATTAATGTGTGGTACTATTTAAATTAAAAACAACAACAATGTATTTCAAGCATCTTTTGTTGCAAAACCAATCAGAGCATCATCAAATTTTGGCATGGTCAGGCTCCTGTCAAGGTCCAATGTCTGACAAGAATTCACTACTGGACAAATCTTCCACTTCCCCATGCCATTTTCAGTAGGAAATACATGCCTCTCCATCTCCACTATACAACACTGTCTTGACCTCTAGGAGAAATCCCCAGTATCCAATGGAGGGAAAACCTAAAGGCTGAGAAACAGAAACTGTCTTATACACTGCTTCCTCTTCTGGTCCCATCAATCAGGATCTTGAAGGGAACAGGAAGAAAGATAGGACCCAAGCACACCCAAATCGAAAGGTCTTTCAAAAATCTGAAAACAAAATCTGATCCAGAAACCAACCATTTTAGGCTCTTGTGAAACTCACAATTAAAAAGACCATCAATACAATAGCATTATTATAATTAATAATACATAATCTCACTCATCTGATGTTGACTCCTGATAGGTTTTAATCACAATATGGCAAAGTGTTTATTGAAGGTTTCACTTTTACTAGGGGTGGAGATAGATGATTTTAAATTGGAAGATTCTAATGTTAACAGTGAGGTATTTAAAGGCAAGGATGGCATGTCAGTTGCTAGAAGAAAAAATATTGAATGCATAGATGTATGAACCTTGATTTTTAAAAATTTGAAATATGGACGATTGATAATTTGAAATTATGTATCACTTATGTCTTCTCACCAGAACATTGGAGTTATTTATTAACTTTGTGAAGGATAATCTCCATTTGTGGATATAAATAATACTGTGAACATTAATTTTTTTAGAGTGGACTCATGGGATAGAAGCAGGGGAAAAACCTAGTGCGCCTGAATCATTGTTTCTTACTCAAAATCTGTATGCAAATCTGTACCAAGAAACCACTGCCTACCAGCATGGAGAAATCAACACATGGTGCTTGAAGGACAATGCTAGCTTGCCTGTGCAAAGCACCCTTAACAGAAATAAACACAGAAAGAATTATCAGGAGAATTTGAAGTGACATTCATTGGTTTTAGACAAAGGTGCATATTCTTCATTTGATTTGTAGTGCTGGATGCTTTGATCTGCAGTGACCGGAAAGCTCTGTGTTCGAAGTACAGTATATTATGGAAGTTTCAGGATCTATTAATTTAGGTCACAATTCTATGCATGTTTAGATGGGAAAAAGTCCTAGAATTCCCAGTATTCCCCAGCCAGTCATGGATTGTGCCCTATATATAATTCTGTCTTGCCTGTCCACCTGCTACAAAAAGCAAAGTTGTTGTTTAAGACAGCTAACAATAAAATACAGTAAAAGCTGTAAAATAAAAAATAAACACAGAATCATAACTATTCTATGAATTCATAGAAACAAGAGCTAAAAACACAATTAAAGGACACAATAAACATCAGGGCATGCCTTTTCAGCAGAGGCCTGCCCGCTAGGTTTGGAACTATTATGTGTGCTATTAAAAATAGGAGTCTTCAGAAGCTGCTATGATTTTTCTCAGGACATCTCCTTACTCAAAGGCAATTCATGAAGGCACATAAATCAAGTGTCAAAGTTGTTCCTGAATGTTCCTACAGGTGTTCAACCAACCTGCTTCACCCTCCACTAAACATGTGAGCAGGAAATGGGGTCACACCAGCTGGCCACATTCTCCAGAACAGATTAAAATGGCACAGAAGTCACACTGTAGTTAAAGTGAATCACAAAAGGGTTCTACCATTATAACCTTCCAAAGCCTACTGCTTAGAAAAATTATACCCCATGAAAACATTAGTTGGCATTTAGCACTATTACCGTACCCAAGAAAGCCTAAATGTTAACTATTAGGATATAAATCTTCCAGCAACACAGGAAGGTTTAGATGCTTCATAAGCCAACGCAGGACAGGGACAATGTGGTCACATGTTCTTCATTCTACCCATCTGGATTGGGCTTGAAAGATCAAGGAAACTGAAGTAGGCTATTCCTAGTTGACTCTGTGCAAAATTCTCTCCTGTCTCCTCTGTGGATTGACTTCACACATTTAAAATCTGTGTATTGGGCTTCCCTTTCTCATAAATCTGGTCATTTTGCTGTGGGATTTGAAGACATTAAGAAAAACAGATACTTCATATATCCTTCACATTAAGTGTTCACTGAAATACAGATCACTTGCTTCTATTTTGCCTTCTAGTGAGTTCATTATGTTCTATGTTGAGCTCAAAACTGAAATGAAAACAAATGTTGCTTATTGCAGTGAACACTTCACTGTAATACTGTAAAGAGCTTTAAATTAAATTGAGCTTACTGATTGCCTGCAAATTGTGCAATTCCCATAGCAGTAATAATAAGTGCATGCATGTGCCAGATCATTATTAGCTAATCCCATTTCTAGCTGGGATAGGGCAATTCCATGAAGTCTTTCAACTACTTTCACTGGCCTACTGTGTCCTGCAGATTTGCTGATATTTCTCAGGAGTCATTTTGAGATGGCAAATAATTCAACCCACATTTTCTGGTTAAACTTGTGACTACTTTCTAGGCCAAAACAAAAGAGGTTTACTGGGGATCGGTCCTGCCTGGTAGCCATACCATCTGATTGGAAGAATCACAAAAAGGAATTTTCCCATAAGGAATTGGAGAATCTGATATCATGGTATCAAAGCAAACTCTTTCTACTGATGAAAATATGCAATAATAGCATTATACCATGAAAGTTTACTCAGTAAAGCAAGCACCATTCCATTCAATGGGGTGGAATGAATAAGACTGCAGCCTTAGTTAACATGCTATGGGTTTATTGATTTCAGCAAGGCCTTTGACAAAGTGCCCCATGATATCCTGGTGGAGAAACTGAGGAGTTTTGGGATACACCAAAGCACTCTCTGGTGGATTAGGGCATGCTTGACTGACTGAAAGCAGAATGTAACCATTAGTGGGGAATCATCAGGATGGCGGCCAGTGACAAGCGGGGTCCCCCAGGGCTCTGTCCTTGGGGCTGATCCTGTTTAATCTTTTCATTTTTGACATGGAAGAAGGGGTGAACAGTCTGCTGATCAAATTCACAGATGATACTAAAACTGGAGCAGTGGCCACAACTGAGGAGCAGGTACTCCAGATCCAAAAGGATCTGGACAGACTATGGAAGTGGGCAGGAGACAACAATGTGGGTAAGTGCAAGATCTTGCACTTACAGCATAAGGATAGGTGCCATAAGTACAGGTTAGGAGACAAGTGGCTGGAGAGCAGCACTTGTGAAAGGGATCTCGGGGTGCTGATTGACTGCAGGCTAAACATGAGTCAGCAGTGTGATGCAGTGGTCAAGAGGGTGAACGCCACCATTGGTTGCATAGCCAGAAGTGTGGCTTCCAGATCGAGAGAGGTATTACTACCACTCTATATGACTCTGGTGCGCCCGCAACTGGAGTATTGTGCTCAGTTTTGGGCCCCTCATTACAGAA